CCCACTACCTCAGTGAATCATATGATCCCAAAGATTTGAAAACCCAGTTATGCAATGCAAGTGGGTTCTACCAAACTATGCCGAGGGAAAAGTACAGGGTCAGTTGATAAATATATTCATTTAGCTGTATTATTCATAAGCATCCAAGACCTCTTATATCCAAGGAATACAATGGGGAGGTGCCGTACTTGTGGTCAAGTGGGTAATCTTATGTTTTTTTTAAAGGTGGTTTGCATGTGTTTGAAGCTGACATGGGAAGGTAAGGACAGCTCTGAAACAGTGCCAAAGAGCCCTTTGTACCAACACCTGCCAAACACATAATACAACAACAGTGCCTGGGATTTAAATGCTAGTCCTCAGGGTTTCTTTTATTTCCATTAATCCAGTTTCAAAATCTGTGATTCTCCAACTATTATCCCTTCACATGAATGCTTGATATCTTTCCATGCAATACAATTGTCCTGAAACTACAAGGAGAAACAAAAGCATCACTGTTGAAAACAGTTGTGTCCATTTTAACCTCTTTAGGACCCTCCATTAGCTTGCTATTATTATTTTAGGACATAGGAGTGATAATGAAGAGTTGCCAATTTCCATAGAGCTTAGCTTAGCTGAAATAGTTATATATTAATATATCACCAGTTCCTCATTTAAAGAATATTAATCCTTGGGTTTAGCAATGCAATGAGTTGATTCTGTCTTCACCCTTCACTAATAAAATTGGCATTAATGGTTGAAAGTTAAGGCAGTGCCTAACTGAGGTGGTTTGGTTTCTGCAGACTGCAGACTTTAGCTGCTTTACAAGAGACACACGAACCAAACCCATGTTCATCTCTTTTGAGAATTAGGGAAAAACAACAGACACAACGTGAATATATTTTATATTCAACATTGAGAAAAACAAAAGATAAATGATAAAAAAAGGTGGGAAGAGTTAACCTGGTTAATCCCCAAAAGTACCCTGGAATTAATCTTCTAGGTTTCCTGCTTCCCAAAGTTGAAAAAAAAAATTGTGTATTGAGTGGATAGTATACTATACTGAGCGTCTGAGGTAAAGGAACAGAAGAAAAAAGTGAAAGTGTTAGAAGCAGTAAAAACCCAAAACCGTACTAACTTCTGATGATGCATTTGGCCTTCAGACACCAACACCAAATGTTGCAGGTTAAAATAATGCTACTACTAATAATAATATATCCTTTGTTTTTACAGTCCACTAAGCTTTAGTTTATGGGTTTCAGAAGTGTTGTCAGAAAGACAAGTGCTGCCACTGAGGGCCAGCTTAGCCTGCAAGACCAGAAAAAAGCACCAGAGAGGGTTCAGTCATAATATGAGGGCCTCTGCAGTTCTCTCCCTCAGGTGTCAGAGGGAAGAAGAAAGAAGAGAGAGAGAAAAGGTAAATGGCATTGGCAGCATTATAATCAGAAGCATTAGTTTTATCCATGAACAGAAGATTCTGCAGTGAAATGGTCCCTGAAATAAATATACCTACTCTATATACACAGTCTACATCAGCATTCAGCATCCCAGGCTTCTTAAGCAATAAGTAATGCACCTGCCCAACAAACTTACACTTGCAAAGAAACCAAACCTGTTTCAATTTCAATCTTTCTCCTACATGTTTGTTTGGTCTGAATAACTGCCTTCCCCCCCCCCCCTTTTTCTCCACCTTTCTCATTTATTAGCTTTGCTTAATTTCAGCAAATTTGTCATTGTTCCTCTTTTGAATGATGAGTGGAAGAAACAGGTTTCCTTTTACTGCATCTCAGTATCAAGAGCTTGAACACCAAGCTCTAATCTTCAAGTACATGGTCTCTGGTGTCCCCATACCACCTGATCTCCTCTTCACCATCAAGAGAAGCTGCTTGGATTCCTCACTTCCTTCAAGGCTTTTCTCTTACCAGCCTCAACATAGTAAAACTCCAGACTTAACTTTCCCTTTTTTTTAACATTTTTCCATTTTTGGGTTTTTGACAATGAGTTTCCTGTTGTTTTTTTGGCAGTTGGATGGAACTGTTTCCAGATGGGATTGGGGAGAAAAGTGGACCCAGAGCCGGGGAGGTGTAGGAGAACCGATGGAAAGAAATGGAGATGCTCGAAAGAAGCCTACCCTGATTCAAAGTACTGTGAGAGACACATGCACAGAGGCAAAAACCGTTCAAGAAAGCCTGTGGAAGTTGGTAGTAATACAACAATGGCGTACCCTTCAACAGAAACCCAGAACATCTCATCATCGATCCCCAAGGCTCACCCTTCTTTTCCTTCTCTTTCTTCCATGTCCTTATCTTCTGATTCCCAACAGCAGCAGCATCAATTTCGACACCATGGTTACAATCATCCCTTTATGTATCCACATGCATCGAGGCCTCCATGGGTTGGCCTGTCACCTCAAGAGAACACCACCCATTCTCTCCTGGATTCTGTCTCGTACTCCCAGACAAACACAGAGTACAGGTTCCATTACAGAAGAATCTTGGGGTTTCTTTTTACTGTACTTGTTTTCATTTACTGCTATTATTTTTCTAATGAGTTTTGTTTCTTGTGAAGAAGAAACAGTTATGTGTACGGGCTGAAAGAAGAGGTGGATGAGCATGCTTTTTTCTCTGAGCCTTCCGGGACAATGAGGAGCTTTTCTGGTTCTTCTATTGATGATTCATGGCAATTTGCACCACTAAAGATGAGTTCTTCTTCTTCCTCGAAGCAGAGGAACTGCTCTGATTACTCTTATTTGCAGCTTCAAAGCGTCACCGATCACAGCACAAAACAAAGCAAGCAGTACGATGATGAGCAATGCTACATCAGATTTGAAATGCCTGATGAATTGGAGAAAGGAGAACCCCCAAAGACAGTCCATCGTTTCTTTGATGAATGGCCACCAAAGCAAAGGGATTCATGTCTGGATTTGGATGATAAACCATCAAACAGCTCATCAGTTTCAACAACCAGGCTCTCAATATCCATCCCTTCCACCTCACATGACTTCCCCATTTTCAATTCAAGAACTCATAACGGTATCTATTTTTTTGGCTGGTTTTTGCTCCTAGCCACACGTTAATCTAATTTATGACAATGAACTCCTTTCATATTTTGGTCTGAAAAACTTGTGAATTGTTTTGTCTTTGTTTCTGCAGATGGTTGAATATCCAGTACCAGCAGTAGGTCTGCATTAGAGGACAATGATGTACTTGGTGGGGATCACTTCTTTCTGTGAATTCTGACTGTTTAGTAATCTTTCCTTTGTTTCTTTTGGTTGAATGAACATTGGGTTGTGTTTTCCCCCTTATATTAATGAAGGATCCAATGACTTGTATGCTACTGGTTTGATGTTATTTTCCTACTGCAGATATACAGTTGATAAACATTAAGATTGTAAACATGATTTGCTGGTAGGTAACATGTGTTGTTCAGAGGGTTTTCATGTTGGCTTTAACTTCAAGGCTCAAGCAAGGCACACTTAACCTGCTGTTGGGGTGGGGTCCCCCTGGCCTGGCCCTATGTTCCCATGATTTGCTAATTTGTCGCTTTTGTGTACGCCTATACATTGAAGTTTGGCAAAGCCCAAACGGTCCACTGAAGACACCAACATTTGTGCCACTGTTTTGGGAGAAAAACAAGATAACAATGTCCTAAAAACACCATTGGAATGGTCCATAAGAGCTTGGATTCTCAAAAGGACTATATCATCTTAAGTAGAAAGAAGCATCTTCCATTCCATGCAAATGGAGTTGCAGGCTACTTTTCACCATGTTCATCTTCATCTTTAGTGTTCCACTAAGCCATCTCTTTCTTTTATGTGCTCTGCACTGCTCTGCACTGCCTGCTTTAGTAGAGCAGTATGTAATGTTATGTGCCTGTAAGTTTCCCACACAAACTACCCTTTAATTTGTATTATAAAACAAAAGGTTCACCACTGTTAAACAAAAAGCAGAGTAAAGGCAGTTGGATTGGTCCATAAACTACATGTTTCATTAGAGGAGACAAGGGCATTCAAGTCATTCACTAGTCGGTCAATGAATTAAAAGAAAAGTCTAGGTGAGAAAAATAAAGGAGAGGAGTTGGCCTGCAACTTGTCCTGAGGGTTGTGGTGGGCTGGCTTTGCCCCCATTAACGCATCACTAGTCGGTTTTCAGTGACTGACGGGTACGCTTCTATCCTCCATACACGCACGCACGTACTCAGTCTCTGCCTCTCTTTTTTTTAAACTCCATGTTCTTTTTCATTTATGTCAGTCAGTCACCCACATTTTAAAATGAAAAATCTTTCGACAACGTTGTGGTTTCAATTGTGAACCGAATAATTAAACCCCGAAAACAATATATCGACAACATTTTAATGTTGATGTCACAAGTTCTGTATAAATGATGATATAATACATATCGAAGTGTTCAAAGTAATGACATAACATATATAACGTATTTAAAGCATTTCAAATAAAAAAAATTATGCGAAAAGAGTTGAATATTAGTCTAATAACAATTTTTATTCAACCACGAATGTTTTATCCCAAATGAAATATTAAAGGCCATAGCGTTCGAAAAAGAATCGAAATTAAAATGATTATTTTCATAAATGTTAATAGTGATTTTTGACCTTATATATTTTTTCAATCCTTACATCTCATGCTTTTAATAAAATATGATTATTTTAGCATTTTAATTTAACTCCATGATCATATTTATCATGTTTTAAATTAAATAAATTTACGTACATATGTAGACGATATTGTTCTAACTCATCGATCGAAGAAACATGCCGCCATTGATATATGAATTTTGAAATAAATAAAGATAAACTTCAAATTTTATCTCAAAAAATATCAAATGATAAGCATTACAGTTACGTGGTGAGGGTGATTCATATATAGGGTTTTTTAGGCCTACGTTAGTGACCTGTTTCTGTTGTGAAGATTTCAGTAATAAAGATATATACTTTGCTCCACGTTCCAAGGTATTGTTGTTTAAGTTGCCCACTTTTTCCCCTACTAAAATGCATCTCTTTGTTCGTTCAATTCAAATCCTTGCTCTTCGTTTGATCCTTAACCAGATAGATATTATCATATGCAAGTAATCATTTCATTTTCTTGTTTGAAGACTTCTTTGAATCGATCATCATCAATGGAACAAAAACAAACCACCAAAACCAATGCCCCCAGGAAGGTTTGTTACCCACACCATTAACTAATCATCCATGGTTGAACTTCAGCGGTCGATCATTTTTTCTAAGAATTTTTCTTTTTCTCTTTGCTTACTTTGGGTATTTTTTTGCAGATGAAATTTGCACCTAAAGCTCCTACTCGCCGAGCACCGAAGCTTGAGGTTAAAACGTATATATCATTTGACACTTGGGATCGCAATGCAAGTCGTCTGTTTCATTGCTTTGAGAACGACTAATTAATCTGAGTTTTTTTTTTCAGTGAATCGGCCGAAGACACTGATGCTGCTCAGGCCAGGAATTTGCTAGAGCGTTTAAATGTGCATGTGTTTCCAAGTTTTTATTGCCATTTTTCTTAATCCCATTGATTTCCTTGTTATGTTATTCTCATTTTATCTTCGTTTTTTTCATTCTTTTCTCACAGCAAATTTCTGCAAAGACAAAACCTAAATTTGAAAAGAAAGGTTTATTCTTTATCTATTATTTGAAAACTTCACATGCACTCCCTACAAGTTGAAAATATTATTGTGTTCTACAACACAAATGCCAGTTCTTAATACGCTTTTTCTTGACATGCAGCTGCATCTTCACAAGTTGCATTTGGTTTTGTAAAGGCATCAGCATCATCTTCGTTAAAATATTTGGTGGAATTTCCAAAGGTTCAATGCCATATATACAATCCTTATATATGCTGTTTCGCTAATGATTGAGATTCATTTCAGTCTGATAAGTAGTGTTGATGTTTCTATAGGTAAAGGTCCTACTCCAGGATTGAGAGAAGAGAAAGAATACAAAGAACCATGGGTGTGTATGTAAACTTTGGATCATTAATGCAAACCATGATGGCCTTTTTTCTATTTCTCCATTGATCGTTGATTGAAAGGTATATTTAGTTTACTGGTTTCCTTTATTTGGATGTTTCCGCAGGATTATTACAGTTATTATCCCCTGACCCTTCCTATGCGGAGACCGTATTCGGGAAATCCAGGTTTGTTTTTATGTGTGGTTTGATTGAAAGTTCAAACATCTTTACAAATTTGAGTAGCTTTATGTTGAATTTACAATTGTAGAGTTTCTCGATGAGGAGGAGTTTGCTTCGGCGAATGTATTGTTCAATGAAAGTTCGGTCGAGCCAGCAGTAGAGTTTGGTCTATTGGTTAGTTGTTTAGAAACTGAATCAAACGTTACATTGTGCCTGGTTTCTTTACGCTGACACTCGCCGATGATGATCGACTACCAGGAGGAGAATCCAGAAGCAACTATGTTCTTTATGCAGTTACCACCAACTTTACCTATGACAAAGCAAACAGGGAACATATCTGGGCAAGAGATCAATACCAGTTCAAAGCCTGCTGTGAGTGGAGGTTCTGGAAAGAAGACATGTGGCTTAGATGAGATACCTGCAGGTCTCATGGGTAAAATGCTAGTCTACAAAAGTGGTGCTGTCAAGTTAAAGTTGGGGAATACCTTCTATGACGTGAGTAACTTAAACATTGTGTTTTGGATTGCACCATGATAAACATTTGTTAGTTATGATTCTGAACCCTTTTTTTTCTTTCGATTTGATGCACAGGTTACTCCGGGTTCGAATTGCGGATTTTCTCAAGATGTTGTAGCTGTAAATACTGCAGAGAAGCATTGTTGTTTTGTTGGGGAGCTTGAGAAGCGTGCTGTTTTAAGCCCGGATGTAAATTCTGTGTTGGATAAATTGGAAGATCTTTGATGGCTTTTGCTTGTTCAAGTTTGGTTAGTAGGAATTCATACAATAAAATGTTCTAAAAACTTGATTGTTAATACAATGCAAACAAACAGAGGTATAACATTATCTGTGCTCCAAGCTGTGGTTGAAGAGCAATGACAGTGTATGGGGCATGGGAGTAGGATGGTGAGAGATTGAATGAGAAATGTTTTAGAATCATAGCCAAAGGGTATACCTTAGTTTCACTCATGGCAGGTCCTCGGGTTCCAACCAAATGATTTACACTACATAAAAAAAAAAGTTCGCATCAATTCTTTGAAGACCACGTTGATAAGTTTTAAACAGCTTATCCAAAAGAGAGAACAAATCAAAAATACACAAGCATTAGCAATGGTTAAAAATAAAAGATGCATTCAATCCGTCTCAAAATTATTATTCAATGTTGCATATTGTTCCAAAAGCTTCCATTATTCGAGAAACGAGATTTTCTTTGTTGTTAACAATCTATGGTGACAATGTTGGCACCACATAATCAACAACAATGACACCATCCAAATTGTCCCTCACCTTTTGTTTCTGCAGGTTCACGTACTCTTCCTTTCCCACAGCTGCCTCCATTTCTTCATGTCCAGAGACCGAGGCAAGCGAAAAGCCCTTAGCTCTTGCCGAGAAATTCTCCCCGCAAGTTAACTGTTGAACACCGGGGATCCCCTCGTTGATCCCTTTAATTTCCCCTAGAATCTCACCCTGCAATTCGTTCGGAACGTTCTCTCTGAGTTTCAAGAAGCTTACTTGATGGCAGAACCAGGTGGGAGGGACAGCGGCGTGGGATAATTATCAGCAACCCAATCAACAGCCATGATATCATCACAGATGGGAACGACATTTTTCCTTGACCACACGCTGGTGACCGGGATGAACAGCATATGCATTCAAATCTTCTTGGACTTGTATCGGCTATGGAGCATGTGCGTGAAGTTGGAGATCGGAGATTTGGTGCGAAGGACGGGACCAGCAGTGAGGTGCACGACAGGATCAAGAGAGACCATGCCATTGAGGTTGTTAAGCATCAAGTTGACCTTTCCCTGGTCTGCGTCATCTTTAACTTTGAAAAGAACCACATGCTAAACAATGGACATGGTGATCCGGGATTTAAAGGTTTTTGCGGATAAAGTGACGGGTCTTTTCAGGTGTTTGAAAGAAGGGAAAGTGAGGGAGGATGGAGATGAAAAGAGGGGGCGAGCTTTCAAACACAGCATTAAAATCAACTAGTAGTGGACTAAAACTAATAAAACGTCAGTGTACCTGCAAAATTGATATCATATTGGACGGATTTCCATTAAAAATACAGCTCAAAACTTACAATCAAACACAATTTAACAATTAAAGAATCCAAACAAACCCTCACAAAATTGCTAGAATGTAGAATCTAAAAGCAACATAAACATTAGTCTACAACAACAACAACAAAACCCAATTCCCATATGTAATTGGGTAAGGAGAGGTAGGGTAGTAGGTTGCCCCCAACGTCAGGTTGAGAGTAACTTCCGTGGAAGACTTCCGGCAGTCAAAAAATTAAAAAATATAGATAAAATGCAAAGCATGTATAAATAAATACATAAATACATAGTTGAACAGTATTCATATGCAGTCATAAATATCATTAATATCATATGCGCGTTTGAAATGGGAAGTAATCCCTGCAAATAAATCCCTGCGAAAAAATCTCTACATATAGACAGAAACGTAAGACCTGACTAAATTTAAATGTGAAGAAAATATTACACAGAAATCCACGATAGCAAGCCCAGTTCTAGACCTTCATATATACCAATAACAGAAACGTATAAAAAGTAGAATTCATGGAAATTACTACAAAGACATTAAAAGAAGACAGATATGATACACCCTATAGATGTGACCCACACCACTCGACTACCTTAGTTTTTAGTCTCCATACTTTCCTATCAGAGGTCATGTCTTCGGTAAGGATTAAATCCATCAAATCAGATCTCAAGCAGTCTTCTCACTTTCGCCTTGGTCGTCCTCTCCTTCTGACACCGTCGACTGTAATCGACTTTACCCTCCTGACCGCATCCGACGGTAGTCACCTAAGAATATCCCCAAACTACCGTAATCTTCTCTCCCTCAATTTTTCAAAAAAAAGACATCACCCCAAAACCCCAAAGAACATACTAATAGTAGATTTTGTTGTCATACTCCACAGAGACTAATAATCAAATCCCAGTTAAAATTTCACCGAGTTTTCTTTATCCATTTAATCGAATAGAAAACTGAAGACAGGGCTAACAGAAATTTGCAAGAAACTGAAAGCATATACAGATCAGAAAGAAGAAAATAATAAACAGATATACAGTTTGAGAATATAAAAGAAGTGAGCTACTCGACTAACACCGACCTGAGAGAAACCATTGCGGCTCTACCAAACTCCGTGAGCACTAAAGTAGGTGAAGAGCACGTGCGCAACAAAACGTTATGTGGGCCGGCACATGATTCGGTTGGTTGACGGGCTTATGGGCTGAATATGATACTAGCTGTTCTGGATCATGCAACTGAAAATCAACTGTTTGGTCATCCGTTATTATATATTTTAGAATAATTTTATAATTATTTTATTTTAAATATTTTGAAGATAATCCCTTTAACATAAAATTTTATGTACGTAGATGAACATGGGAGATCATCGATAGTAAAAGAGTAGGGATGTTAACATGGAAGGTGCACGCAAGATACGTACAACACGAGCTTCCTTTTGAAATTAATCCAGATTTGGATTGACTAGGTCCACTTCCTCGCTGTCTCCTTTGTATAAGTAAAGGTACATTATGATCCCTTTAAATGTGTATTTTGTACTTATAATAAAATAATATTTATTAAAAATGTTATATGCAACGGTAAATTAAGTCTTTAGTGTCTAAGCTATCAGTTTTGATCTATTTTAGTGTCTAAACTTTCGATTCTTTAATAATCATATCTAACGTTTACTTTTTATTTCATTTTAGTACCCCCGATGTTAGATTAACGGACGGGTTCATGGTGATCATGTCTACAGTCGCCAGTCGTCGTATCCGTCGGCCGATGAAGCACAAACTTTTCATTCCGCTCTTTTTCGACACCCTGAACGTGATTTTAGCCTCTGTTTCACCGAAAAATGCCTCAATCTCACCAAATCGGTGATGGATTCTTTGACTTCTTCATCCTTCAATCTCCGTCATCAACCGCCCAATGGGTCTGAAACTGGACTATGTTGGTCGACTAGTGGTTCATTGTTCGGATTGGTTGTCCGTCCACCAGAGCTATGCCCCGTCAACTTGTCCATTAACTTTTGAACGGTGAGGTTCTAAAATAAAACAAAAACTAAACATTAAATATAATTTTAAAAAAATAAAAGTTTAGATAGTACAACTGATAATTTAGATATTAAATATGTAATCTACCCTATATACGATGCAACTAAGAGGGATGGCGTCACCTTTTTCAGGTTATGAAGCAGCAGCTCGGTCGGGGCTCATCGTCATCCACTTGCTCTATTTCGTCACCTTCGCCATTTTTATATTTTATTTCCCCTCTACAATGAATGAGTCCCCATGTAGGAACCTACTCGCATTCAATTGCATGCTTGTCCCTTCACTCCTAGTCTTTCATCCCCCCGGTCCTCTACGAACTGAAACAAATTACAGCTAATCATGAAGGGCATTGGGGTTCCAAATAGTGGTTAAACAAAAGGGTTTTCTAAAACATGTTTTAGTAAAAAAAAAATGGATTATTAATTAAGACATATTATATTCAATGCATGATTCCTAATAAATTGAAAAAAATATATATAATTAATGTTTTATTTTCCCTTTTAATATTACTTCAATAATGTTGTTTTGGCATAATTATAAAAAATGTTATTAGGCACTAATTAGTGTGTCAAAAGGATTCTAAATCATCGCATAAAAAGGTGGGTCATTGCCTCATTGCCTTTGCCATTTGGATGCTTAGCTATTAGCTGCTTGCGGCCTGCCAGTGTCACGCCGAAGGTTTTCGATTAATTAATTTTAGGATAAAGTATATAAATAGTCCCCAAACTTTTAAGACACATGCATTTTGGTCAATTAACTTTTAAAATTTACAATACAATCATCAAACTATCGTTACCTCCGGTTAGTTTTTGTTGTTTTTGCTGACGTGACACTTAACTCTGGTAACTTCCCCTTCTTATTATTCTTCATAACCTGCAAAAGAGAATAATAGGATGAGAAAAATGAAGAGTAAACATGTTCCAACAAAATAGAATAATTCGATCAAAAATATGAAGAGTCAACACATTCAGGACTTTTTTTTCTCTGTACCCATGAAATCTAAAATGGTGAAACATATATCTTTTAATTTTCTGGGCTTGATTATGGCATGTTCAATTTGGTTAGATAAATAGATATCCCTAAGCGGAAAAAACTGGTGAAACATTTGTCTTTAAGATCCATTGTTTGACCTTGAATATCAAGGTCTAATTTTTACTCAAATCTGTAAAGTTTCAAGTTTCCAACAAATTTAAACAATAAATCACCATAAAAAAATACTATTTTGGTACCATAAACATGCAAAGAAACAATAATCAAAATTCACACACCAAATTTACTCATAAAATCCAACAATCCCTTTTCTTTTTCATCATTAAAATGACAAGAAGTTGCCTTTTTTTTCTCTCTTTAGAATTGCATGGGAAGAAAACAACAACGTCAACATCCCATAAACCTTATCCATAGAATGAATCAAACCCCCAGAAATTCATTTTCAATTTTCATAAAATATCTCGTCATTCTTCTAAATACCCACACAATAAAGGAGGGAGAACCACAATCTTTAGAGCGACCAAAGATTAAGAATCAAAACTTTAAACCAAAGGGTAATAAAATTAACCAGAAGAGAACATACCATATTCAATATATCTTGAGAAGAAGAAGAAAAAGAAGAGATTGACGGGATTGGATTTAACACTTACTTCTCTATGGCCAGAGGAAATGCCTCTAGAG